TCGCCCTCTTGCTCTTCGCGAAGCCCCCCCACCAGTGACACTCCTGCGGGGACCACGCAAAGGGGTTCGAGAACACGATCGGGCGTTGACAGATGGCACCACCCAGACGGGAGCGTTAAAAATCGTCGTCAAGAACGGCTTCGCCATGAACGTCAACTCGCAGCGCCGCCCAACACCGGTGAGGACGGAGTTGACCATACCGCAAAGGCTGTCACGTTTTACAGCGAGGGGTTCAAAACAATGGAGAGTCCATCACCGGCGAGTGAGAACAGTACGACGGCAGGAGACGACTCTACAACCGTCTTCAACAGCAGCGCAACTTGGGCAGATGATGCTCAAACCGGCCCCTCGTCTAATTCCTCGGCATCTTCTCAAGTTGGGTTCTGGGCACATGGCGTCTGGCATCCCCGGGAACGCACTGCAGCTGAGCAGAGACTTCACAGGGGTGGAATGGGACCACAACGAACTCAGCGAAAGCTGGACAGGATGAATGCGTATTGGGCGGGACATTGGAAACCGGCCTGGCTAGTCAAGTACATTGACGACAAGGCTCAGCGCATGCAGTCTACGACCGCTTCCTCGTCATCCTCAGTGGCTGGGGCGAACATTCCTCAAAACGCTCCGACAACGACTTCCGCTTCGGGATCTGGTACAGGGGGTGACTACGCCGCGACTGCGTCCTGTTCGGCGGTTGGGGTGAACTCCTTTCAGAATGCCCCGACGATGACTTCCACCTCAGATTCATGCACGTGGGGTGACAGTGCTTACATTGGAGGTTTAAATGCGACTGCCGAGCCCTCCAACATGACCGACGCTGATCCGTGGTCTGGCCAGTGGCTACAGTGGACTGGCAATTCCTGGTGGGACACATGGTCATGGGATGAGCACTACAATGGGGATGCTTGGACGTGGACTACATCCTCGACTACCTCAGTGAGCGACCTCTATGACTTCCCACCGAACCACGGGCTGTTCCCGGTTGTTACCCCTGTCGCTCCGGAAGTTGAAGAAACACTGTTCATGCAGCTCACAGGAGCAGAGCGGCAGACGTTGAGAGAGAATGGGGTTCCTACGGAAGCTATCTCCAGGGTTGCTGAACTGCTGGACCGACTCGACGACCACAACTCCTTCGAGACGGGACCGGAAGCAAGATGGGCCCTATGCAGGTTGGTGCAGCGAGCAGAAGACGGTGTTCAAAGCCTCGAAGCCATACTGAAGATCCTACACCGCCGCCTCCGTCCCCGAGGTTACCTTCCTGTTGTTCGCGTACCCAGACAAGAGGCTGACAGAATGAGATTTTTCACTTGGATGAGGCAATACACGACGCTCTTCGTCACCTCGCTGGAGCGTCACTTGTCTATAATGCTGCAACCTGTCGAGGGACTCGACTCTCCGCCGCCACCCTACGATCAAGTCCGACCCAACCCTGCCGACAGTTCACTGGGAAGACCATCCACGGCATCTGGTAGCGAAGCTGTGGGAGAGCCTTTGTCGTCGAGGGGAGAGGAAGATAGGAGCATTGCCGTCACGGAGACGAACCATGAGGCAGCGTCATCTTCATCGTCTTCTTCCAGCCCCTCCGTGGCAGTGAGTATCCGGAGCAGATCGCCTGTCAGGCACGACGCAGTGGAAGGCCCGGTGGTACAGGCGCCTGTAGAAAACCTGGAGTACACCCCTGGGGCAGAGGTACAGCGGGCCCTTGCAGGTGAAATGATGGGAGTTTGGCAGGAACCCGCCTCCACTACAAGCTCGACGTCCACCACCTGCTCCTTTGAGGCTTCAGTTCCACCGCTGGCATCAACATCATCATCTTCCTCGGCAGCCTCAACATGGACGTGGTTGACTTCGTGCACGACGACTTGGCCGATGGGGAATTGGTCCACCACGTCTACGACCTCTACGTCCTCTTCATCGGCAGCCACGTCAATGGATGTCATCCGGGACGCAGTTAACCAAGACCTGTGGCATGGAAATGATGCGGATGTGGTGGACCTACTCCGACGGTTAATGGACAGACAACGCGTTCTGAACCGCTACCAGCTACATGTCACGGTGGCGTTGGAAGAGTGCCTGGCATGGTTACGTCGAAGCAGACATGGTCTCGCACTCAACGCAGCAACTATGGAATACCGCCTGTGGGATGTCATTGGACGGGAAACCGCAATGGGAGATCCTGTCTCAGTCTTGGGGTGCACAGGGCTCACGGAACCACATGCCGCTCTTCTTCATCCTGGATTTCCCGAAGTCCTGAAGTCAGAAAAGCTGTCTCTAGGTTCCGGGCTCCTCGCAGCAATTCCCAGCTTGCTGCTGGCCTCGATCTAACCCCAAACCCAAGCATTACACAAACCCTCTTATCATCAGAAACAAACACCAACAAAACCCGAACAGAAACCCAACCCTAAACCCCAAGCCCGCTTTTCCTGGAAGAGGCCGGCAGTTTGGTTCCATAAGGGTAGATCGCCTAAAAATCCAGCTTAGAAGCATTCTTATGGGACCAGTTCTTATTTGGGCTTCTAGGATTGTAGTGACCTGCCTCAAGAAGAATAATATAACTAGTTCAGGCCTGTCCTTTGAGTCCTTTGGGATGTAATCCAAGAACCCCGGAACAGGTCGGACTTCGCTTTGGATCGCCTGGGCTCAGGGCCCCGCTGAAAGGATGTCCCACCGAACAGTGCCGCTTTGGCACAACCTGGGGTTTTTGGGAATCCCGCATTATGTTGCAAATCCTGATTTGCACAAACCGCAAGGTGCTGGAGTCGTGGCCAACTGCAGTCTGATCCTGGGGTCTGCACACGCCAGACCATAAGCCGGGCTGCTCCCGTAGACGTGTATGGGGCCTTCCAGAGACCGACTCTGCTTCCTCAAATCATATAGTAAAGCAAATCAATCACCGCAGAACCAATCCCGACAAGCCCAATCATATAGTAAAGAAAATCGATCCCCGCAGAATCAATCCCAAAAAGCCTTTATAAAAGTATTCACGCCTTTTATCAACTTTTATCCGTTTTAGTGCAATCCCGAACAATGACCCCCAAAACCGTACACTGTGCCTAAAACGTGGGAATGTGCCGTGAATCTGCGGGGAAGTGCCGTGAGTAACCGTGACGATTTCACGAGTATTCCAGGCGCAGTTGCTGCTTTTCTATTATAGGGTTTTAGCGGCCCCGCAATAGATTTTTGCACGGGCACCGGTTTCGAAGGCGACGAGGTTATGGGATGGCGGACATTCCGGTTCGTCATCGGCCGGTGGGACGTGGCACATCGCCTGAGGCATCTGCAATGTCGTCCCTACCTTCGGCTACTGGGGCCATGTCCTCTCAGGACTTCCCTCAGGTGCTAACGACAGGCAGCGTGGCGGTGCCAGTCGCTGGAACGGCTCCTGGACGTGGTGCTCGCGATCGAAGCAGAAGCAGAGATGGTGGAGAGGAGGCACATGATGAAGCACGTCCGGAGGCCTGGCATGACTCGGGGGACGACGATGACGGTGACTCTGATGAGCTCGCGCGTGAAGTCCGAGTCCGTGATGGTCGACGGCAAGGTGGTCCGGACAGCCCTGCAGAACCTGAAGTCCCAGATGCCCGAAGTGAGCTGTCCTGAGTGAAGTGCGGAAGTATTAGGGAGCCGGTTGTTTGCCATGATGTCCTCTCTCGCTTGTGAATGGCCGTACGTGCCTTTCTCTGTTCTTCTTTTCTTCTGAGAGCATTTTGTACTCTTGGGTGTAAGCCTCGAAAAGAGGCAGGCTTTGCGGAGAAAAGGCCACTGCACCTTAAAAAAAAAAAACCTAAACCCTAAACCAGACCCTGACACGCAGGTGCGGACCCTACACGGAGCCTGCAAAAACCCTACCTCTTTTCGGACATAAGGAAATCATAGTAAGGAGCCCTAGGCAGGTAAAAAAGGCGGCCTAAATAATTAGGGTTTAGGGTTTAGGGTGTAGGGTTTACCAATCTTTTTGGGGGGTTCCTGATCAGAATCATAAGTATAGTATAATGGACCCCAAAACCCTATTCCACCTACTAACGCCCCTACACCCCAAACCCTTATAGTAGCCCTTATAGAACCCTTTAAGGAACCCTTAAAAGGAGCCGCAAGAACCTTATTCTAATCATTAAGGCTCCTCTTTTCACCTTAAAAATTAGGTTATGTGGGGTTTGGGGTAGACCTTACCTAAACCCTAAACCCTAAACCGTAAACCCTAAACCCTAAACCCCTAAACCCCTAAACCCCTAAACCCAAACCCTAAAACCTAAACCCTATACCTTAAACCCTAAACCCCGAAACCCTAGACCCAAACCCTAAACCCCGAAACCCCTAAACCCAAACCCTAAAACCCTTCATACAGATTGAAGTGGAGCTCCCAGTCTTGCAGCAGTTGAAAAGATGGAGGTAGCCAGAGATCCCAATACCCCCTTAGTCACGGTTCAGGGTTTAGGGCTTAGGGCTTAGGGTTTAGGGTAGCCCTTAGTTAAGGAAGATACCTCAAATTATAGGGGGGGCGCGTCATATCTATGATGTAAGGTCTACTCCTTAAGTAAGGAATATGCCTTAAGTTCCAGGGGGCCTCAATATTTATGATGTAGGGCCTATTCCTTCATTCAGGGGTATATTGGGATCGCTGGGTAGTCAGGAGTCGAACAATCTAGGACATTTTCAGGTGGGTAGTTGCCGTTGTAGGAGCCTTATAATAGAAGGTCCATATACCTTATAGAAGCCTTGTAGAAGTCCTAAAACCCTAAACTCCCCACCCGTAGTTTCCTCCAACTAAAAAAAACCTTATAGATCCTTTTAAGAAGCCCCTTTTTCAGAGACCCTTTGAGGAGCCCTGTATACCCTAAACTCCCCACCTGTAGTTTCCATTAATCTGGGTAGTCAGGAGTCGAACCCTAAACCCTAAACCTTAAACCCTAAACCCTAAACCTTAAACCCTCAACCCTAAACCCTAAACCCTAAACAATAAACCCTAAACCCTGAACCCTAAACCCTAAACCCTAAGAGTCAAGGCATCCGGGCCTCCACGAGGGAGCAGTCGTCCGCCTCAGTGGCTTCAAGGCTGAACTCCGTTCTCGTAAACCCTATAGGGGTGCCACAAGGGTTCCTTTAAGGCTTTAGGGTTTTAGGGTTTAGGGTTTAGGGTTTTAGGGTTTAGGGTTTAGGGTTTAGGGCTCAGGGTTTACTTAAAGGATCAGGGCACTTAGTAAGTATGGTTATACGTACCTTAATTAGGGTTATAAGTAGATATAACTGCAGTTACCTTACTTATAACCCTACTTACTAAGTCCCCTGATCCTCTAAGTAAACCCTAAACCGTATTGTTCCTAGAGCCTGGAAGCACTGTTGCCAAACACTACGGCGACGACTACTACTACGACTCCTGCTGCTGCTACTACTACTCCTCCTCCTCGTCCTGTCGTAGTCCTCGTCCAAGTCCTACTACTGCTGCTACTGCACTGCTAGTGCTACTGCTGCTGCCACTGCCATTGCACCAAGAGAAAAGAATGATGACCCCAGGCGATAGCAGCTACTCAATACAAAAGAGGATATCCGGGCATCAGTGCATCGCATTCCCTGAATACTTACCTGGAAAAGCCCGGCAACATGAACCTCAGAATCAGAACCGAAGCTCCTTACACAATCCTTCATTCCCATTCAGACCCCTGTAAACCACCACAAGGCCTGCAGGAACGACAAGGACCAACAAGAACAGCCTCTAATCCCGAAGCCCTAAACCCTACACCCCTAAACCCCTAAACCCTAAAGCCTAAAGCCTCTAATCCCTACATCGCAAGTAATGCAAATTCAACCCGAAGTGTGCCCTGAAACCCCGCTTTCAAAAGGAATCGAATAATCTACTATAGGGGCTTTAGGGTTTAGGGCTTAGGAGGCTGAAATAATTACAAACACTATTTTGGGGGTTCCTTACAATCAGTATAGTACAATGTGCCCCGAAACCCTCTTATATTTGATAGGGCCCCCACAGTTGTCTTTCTTAAAAAGGCCCCACCAGTAGCATGTCTTATGGTCCCTATGGGCGAGGCGTTAATTAATCAGGGGAACTACAGTCAGAAACAAACAAACCCTAAGCCCGAAACCCTAAAACCCTAAACCCTAAACCCGAAAAAACCCTTAACCCTAAACGAACAAACCCCTAAACCCAAAGCCCTAAACCCCAAAACCCAAAACCGTAAACCCTAAACCCCAAACAAACAAACCCTAAGCCCCCAAAGGCTGAGCCCTAAGCCCGAAACCCTAGACCGCAAAAAACATACCCCATTTAGGGTTTAGGGTTTAGGGTTTAAGGTTTAGGGTTTAGGGTTTAGGGCTTTCCAAAGCCCGAAGGCCAAATCAACCCCCTAAACCCAAAGCCCGAAACCCTAAACCTAATCTTGCAAACCCTCAAACCCTCAAATCCTAAACCCT